CCCCCCTGGGTAAAGGGGGGGCAAACCCCCCTTTTTGCGGGGCTGCCATTTTTTTTTTAGAAAAAGCGGTTTTTTTTTTTTTTTTTTCCCCCCCCCCCCGTCTTCTTCTTCTTTGCAAAAATACCTCAAACTCAGCTAAATTGGACGGAAATGAACCAACACGAATATGCTCTGGCTTATGTTTGTGGTTATTACTGGAGCTGAAATCCTCCAACAGGTTTTCTCCCATGATTGCCTTGTGTGTAGTCCCATCAAATCATCCTGACAGCATACTGATGTAACCACCAAGTTTCACTATGGGCATGGTGTGGTCAGGGTGACGTGCAATGTGAGTTTTCCGTTACGTGGTGTTACGTAGGGCAAAAAAAGTTCAATGTTACACCAGTTTCACCAGAGGACTTTATTCCACGTGTACATGGGAATTGTCTTATAACTTAACTTTGATTTAAAGTTCTCGTCTTAATATCCCCGACCTGTTCTCTAGTAAACCTCTAAGGCCCTCAGAGAGACTCGGCGCCTGAATTAAACTCCGGTCAACTGTATTTAATAAATACGTGACTTCTGAAGGCAGCCATTCAGACTGAAAATGGGGCTGAATAGAAATGGCTGCCTTATTTTTAAGATTAAAGCTGCCTACTGATTCAAGAGACTGGATGATTCATAGGTCAGAGTTAAGACAAACAACAAAACAACTGCAGGGAAAAAATGATCAGTTAAAAGGGCAAACAATATCCAAATTATAACAATAATTCTGGAAAAAATCTCCCAACTTGAAGGCAAAAATTAAAGAAAATAAGGAATTGCTTCGCACTGCTCCAACTGCAGCTCTTTATAAAACTGCAGAAATTATTTCATGCTCCATTGTTTTATTAATATTTTGTATGAACTCGTGAAGATTTTACTGTCATGACCAAAGATAATATGACAATTTCATCTGTCTGGATGAAAGTCACCTTCGCAGGTTAGCAGGACGTCTGATGCATGTGAGATCGAGCATCTGGCAGTGCTCAATCTCACATGCACCGTCTTATCGTTCTCATGTTGCACTATCTCAACATTTGGTCCGCTCACATTTTCAATTGTGCTTGCTCAACACAAAATTTATCTGTAATCAGTCATTCGCTGTTTAACTGGAAAGGAGGAAACTGGACGCCCTCTCTCTTGCCTGTCAGTCAAGAGTTTAGGGTATAGGGAAATCAGATAGTCAATGCATATCTTTGTTTCACGTGCTTGCTCAACACCAGCTGAGGCGCTCACTTCATCAAGTTAGGGTTTTTTTGTTGTTTTTTTTTTTTTGTTTTTTTCCGTATGAAATGAACCTTAGACTGTATGACATCACAGGATAAACTATAAAGAATTGGCTAATATGACAAATGGGAAGCATCTCCTCCCATCAAGCTTCAAAAGGAGCGCCTATAAATCCAGCTACAATTTTAGCATTTCTACTCAAGTAGATCTTGGAGAATGCCTTCAGCAGATCTCGCAAAATTGTTAACCACCCTTTGGACTTTGTCACATTTTGTAACATTTGCTCAAGGTGAGATATACCAACGTCAAACAGCACCATGAGTTGGGAAGAAAATTAAACAATGTTTTTGTAAAGTGTTGTGTATCCAGTCACGCCTAAATCAATGCTTTTGCATCAGTATAGACTGAAGTTATTTAATGTCGTCTCTATCAGTTTGGACTGAATGTCATCCATTTTCAATTCTTACCAGAAATTCTGAGTTGGATTTATGTCTGGACTTTGGACCATTCTGACATATGAACTCGCTTTGATTATTAAAAACCTTCTCATTGTAGCTCTTTGCTGTACGTTTAGAGCTGTTATCTTCTCTGTGGGTGAACCTCTGCCCCAGACTCAAGTCTTTAAGAAGTTTTCTTCTCAGAATGTAGTCCTATTCATCTTTTAATCAACTTTGATCTAGTTTTTCTGTCGCTGCTGAGGAAAGCATCGCCACAAGATGATGCTGTCACAGTGTTTCACAATGTGGGTGGTGTTTTGATGAAGTGCTTTTAGTTTTTTTTTTTAAATGACATTTAGTTTAGTAGGCCAAAAGTAAAATTTTTTCCCCACCTGTCTGACCAGGGTAGTTTTCACATGTTTGCTATGTCCTCTACTTTGTCGCTTTCTTTTCACAATGGCTTTCATGACTTTTATTATATTTTACCACCTTTCCTTGCTTTTAAACTTTCCCACAACTTTATCCCTCCGCTATCCTGCTATGTTCTTTCATCTTTACGATAAATTTTGTTCAGTGATATCCTAGAAAATCTCAGAGGTCTTCATAGAACAGCTGCATTTATACTGAGATTAGGTTAAACACGAGTGAATTCTATTTAGGGAGCTACTAAAGATAACTTTTTTCATTGGTCTACCACATAAAATCCCTATAAACTATTAAGATTAAAGTAGAGCAAGTAGAAGAAGTCTCAATACTACCTCAAGTTAATGGAAATAAGGCTAAAACTGAAGTCGGACTTGCTGAAGATGCAAAGTGAAAACTTTCAAAACCTCTTCTTTCCCCCCCAGATGCAAGACGATATGAGCACTGTGAGCGCTGGCCGGCCATCGTGCTCTACGCGATCATCAAGGAAGTGCCTGTTCGCCGATGGAAGGAGTTCCTCCGACTGCTGTCCGTGTCCGACCAGCAGATGGAGCGCGTGGAGATGGAGGCCGGTCTCGGGTCCATGGAGAAGCAGTACCAGATGCTGAGGCTGTGGAGCCAGCGCTCCTCAGCGAGCCTGAATGAAGTTTACTCCTCTCTGCACCTCATGGAGTTGTCGGGCTGCGTCCAGCAGCTGCAGGAGAACCTGGAGAGGCTGCAGTGGAGGTGCGAAGTGAAGCAGGTGCTCACAGTCTGACGAGGCTGCTGAAGGGAGGGGGTTCCTGAGACTGCAGCTTTAAACGCAAAGAGGACAAAGCCGGCCGTCTGTAACACAGACGGGATAGGAAATATCAATTCTCAGTTTGTGCATGGGTGTTCTTGAACACCGGCGACTGCACCAACAGACTGCTGCAATCGACATCATGTATTTCTTGAATTGTGGAGGTGTATACCGTCATGGAGAGCAGTGTGATTTCTTTATAAGCTTGCCCACAACATCTATTTTTTTGTGTATGTGTGTTATCTAACCAAAGATCTACACTGTACACAGTGAATGTAGGTTTGATCCAGACCAGAGTCAGTCAGAGATCACATGAGGAAGACTTCATCATGTGAATGAAGGCACCAGCAGTAGCAATTCTCAGAAGCACTTTCTGTTTCTTTAGGTGTGTTCTCCGTCCTAGTAAGCTGTCGAGGGTGTTGCAAAAAAAA